GGGCAGAGGTGTGGATGCTATGGCAGGGTGGCTGGCTGGTGAGCGGGTTGACACGCTTCTCCTCGGTGAGAGTGTGGGTCTGGGATCTGAGCTGGATCTGAAGGGCCTCCCTGACCCACCCACCTCTCCTGGAAGGAGCCAGTTCCGACTCAGGCCTCTTCCCATCGGCCCTCAGGGTGATTCCGGAATGAGCTCCAAAACAGGAAGGAAACACCTCTCAGATTTGACCTCCCCCCTTCCCGCCCCTCCGCCCCAGGCCCTGGCTCTAGGGCCGGAAGGAGCCACTTTAAGGATCTCCCTGGGGAACCATGACCAGGAAGACAGATGATCCGGTCACAGCCAGTGTGGCCAAGACAGACCGGGCAGGCCCCTGCAGCTCCACCTCCTTACCCATCTCCTGCTCACTCTTTCAAGCCTGTCTCACCGGGAAGCCAATGCAATTTGACCTTTCCACCAGGACCCATTATAGAGGGTCAGTGCACCCGGCATCCCGGCCAGAGTGCTGTGGCCCCTCAGAGAGCTCCTGAAAGACTCCTTGACCACCCTCCCCCTCAGGCTCCTGAGGGCAGAGCGGCTCTCCCCCCTCGGCCTGGAGACCCTCAGGGTTGAGTGGGTGTCTCCCCCCACCCCTGACAGAACACTCAGGCCGGGAGACGGGTCACTTCTAGTCACCTCATCAGACTCGGGGCTGCCCCAGGGCAGCACCTGCGTCCCCCTTTCTGTCGTCCAGCATCCGCCTTTGGTCCCTGGAAAAGAGAAGAGAAAGGGGCCCCCTGCCCTTCTACCCAACCCGGATGCCCCTTTAAGACCAAAGGGATGGGGGTGGTATCAGGAGTCAGACACAGCAGCCCCATCCTCCCCCTCCCTCACAGGCCAGGTTTCCTGCCATTGACAGCATCCCAGCTGGGCCCTGCCCAGCCTCCAAGCTTAACCCCTTCGTGACCAGATCTCAGGACTACTTCATCTATAAAATTAGGAGATGAACGTACCCATGTCATTTGGTTGTTTTGAGGATTAAATGTGCTAATCATTTGTTTGAAATACTCAGAATAGTGCCTAGTACTTATTGATCTCTCCATAAAAGTCAACTATTATTCCTAATTGTGTGAGCTTGGATCAGTCATTTCCCCTCTCTGAGCCGCAGTCTCTTCCGCTGTCAAATAGGAAGAATAATAAAACCTACCTGCCTAACGTTGTCCTGGGGATGGACTGTGATAAAGTACATGAAAGCATTTTGTACAGTAACAACACCGTATGAAACTATCATGGACAAAATAATAATAATCCTAACTAGGTAATAAAAATCTCTTACCAGGAGGTGGGCCTTCTGGTTTTCAGACCCATTACCTTACTTGACAGGCAGAGGGTGCAGTGGAAGGAGTGGATTTGGGGTTGGGCTCGGGCAAGTCTCTCCCCGCTCCGATCCAGTTTCCTTACCCTGCTGGTCACCCGTCTAGGGTCCTTGGGAGGGACAGAGGAGATTGGAGAGCACAGGGGTGAATGTGCTTTGCAGCGGCCAGGTAGAGGAGGGCAAGCCCCTTGGCAGGGAAATTGTCTTTGAACTCTGGGCACTACAGAGTTTACCTGCCGGGGAGTGGGGAGGAGCCCTCCTGGCACCAGCACTGCGGGGACTGGGCTCCTCTTGAGGTGCCGCCGGACAAGAAACTGTGCCAGCTCTAGAAGTCCCCAAGTTGGGGCAGAGGAGAAAGGAGGCCAAAAGACCTAGACTTGACCTCAAACCATCCCTTCATCTTCCTCTTCCCAGTCAATCCCCTTTGCCATCGGAGGACTTTGGGCACAGGCACCTCCAATGGGCTCCCAGGTGACCTTCACGCCAAGACTTGCTGGGACAGGCTCACCCTGAACACCCGCAGCACCACTGCCCCACCCTCAGGCTGCAGATTGCTGGCCTCACCCATGGAGAGCAGCTTGATGCCCACACCCGGACCAGGACAGGTCTCGGCCTGCTACAGAGCGGGAAGGCACAGTTACTAGGACGCTGCTCTGCCATCCTATTCCAACCAAGAGGATTTGCCAAGGCCCAGAGCGGGCTGACCCCACGTGACCAGCACGTCCCCACCCCAAGCCTCTGAAGGAAGCCTGGGAATCAGGAGAACTTGCTTGGGGTCCTGGCTGCGCCCCAAGCTCACTGTGCCTCCAGCCAAATCACTAACCTATCAGGGCCTGTGTGACCACCTATCAAATAAAGGAGCTGGGCCCCTCCATAGGCCTCTCCAACACAGACTGTGACCAGGAAGGAGTTAATGGAGGCCAGGCGCTGGGTCAGGAAGGCGAGGGTTAATCTGGGGGGGGCGGGGGGTGGAGGCTCTCTCAGCTTTTCCTGTGGAGAGTGAGGTTTGGCTGCCACCAAAGTTACTTCTAGTCCCTGCTGTCCCTGCTGCCCTCAGTCTGGACCTGCCTTCGGACCCCTGCATTCAGCCTCCCCACACAGAGGTGAGTGCATCCCGAGCCCAGTGCTGAGATGGGGGGTGGGGGGGAGGCACCCAGGGACCCAAAGGCGGGCAGCCTGGCTCCAAGTTAATGAGCACAGTTCCCCAGCCCTCACTGGGAGCAGACTCCCTGGACAAAGTTCGGACCACTAACCCCAGGACTGGGAGAAAGTGGGCGCAGGGATGTCTGCCAGGCATCTAGGGAGGGACATCTGTGGTTGGGCAGGGCCAGCCCCGAAGGCAGGGAAGAGGCAGTGGACAGCAGACTATTTTGGTCCCTGTGTTTAGGGACTTTTTATAGCCTCTGCACTTGGGGCATGGAAGAGGCGGAGGGGCTGAGGGGATGTGAGGGTATCCATGAGGTCAGATAAGTACAATGCCCTCCTGAGACCTCGGAATCTCACCCATTGCCTGGGATAGGCCTTCGGAGCCAGGAAGGAAGGCACTGTCAGCCTCTCCTGCTTCCTGGGTTCCCAGTCACCTATGGACTGATTTACTGGGCACTAGCAGTGTGCATGAGTGTGTGTGTGTGTGTGTGTGTGTGTGTGTGTGTAAAGCTGAACAAGTTGCACTGGGGTGAGTGGGGTTGGCAGGGTCTCTGCCTCATGGCTCATCACCAGGGCTCCCCTCCCCCCATCCCTGACAAGTTCTATTGCTTTGTTGCCTCCAGAGGTGAGGTCCTCTAAGCCCCCAGAACTGATGTGTCCCTCTCAGCTGAATGGAGGATGGAGGGCGTAAGGGGGCAGGGGTGGGGTGGGGTGTGCTGAGCTGTGTGGGTGGCCCATTCTGTGACTGCCAAGGAAACTGTCAACCCTTGATTTACAACCCCTCCGGCCCCTTCCCCTGCAGAGGGAGGTGGAGGAGAAGGGTCATGGGGTCTCAGGATAAGGAGGAGGCAGGGACCCTGAGGGCAGGTTTCTCGGAGTGCAGGTTTGGGGAAGAATCAATGGCAGGAACATTTTAAAGAGGCAAAGGGCCCATCTCTAAGGGAAATTGCTTGGTTGTATATCACGTGGAATACAAGAAAGAAAAAAAGGGATGTTCTGACAGGCAAGTGAGAGATCCAATCTGAACCAGTTCTGGAATGCAAGGCAAGAGACCTAGTTCCAGACCGAGGCCCCAATTCTCAGTAAGCCCTGAGCAAGCCCCCTCCTCCCTGGGCCAGGGTCACATTCTACAGAATGGAAATGCAGAGGTAGGTAAGGTGATATTTACCGTTGGGCATGCTGGGATTCCCTTGGCAGGGGCACAGAGTGGGTGGGTAGCAGGCAGCCGGCTGACATGACCTGGTGACCACCGCCCTCTCCTTCTCAATGGTCCTCCTGGGCCTGGGCAGGGCAGTTGGCCGCAATTACGGGAGACTCCTACACTGTGGTTATATCCCTGACCTCCGTGCTTGGGGGTGGGAAGGGTGGGCCCCGCTGGAGCCAGCCTATGGCTGGGAAGCGTCCTTGTCTTGGACTCCAAGTTGCTGGTTTGGGAAGAGGTATTTTTTCCGGTCGAGGCCACTTTCGGGAATTGGGCCGGGACCGGCCCCATTTCCTTTCCCAAGTGTCCTGCTTGCTGATGCCTGCTTGGCATGGTCCTGTGGCCAGATCGGGGCAACCCTCCATGTGGCATAGGGAACCCCTGCCCCATGTCTTTGAGGAATGGAGGTAAGGGACAGCCAGAGCCTCTGCCCCCTAGACAGGGCACCGGCGGCCTTGGATG